AAAATTAATACAATCCTATTGAAAAAGTTTTATACACGGTCTGGTTTTCCAAAGATCTGCCAGAAGACCTGTTTCGGAAAGCACTTCTGGAAAAGTATTTGCTCGTGAAAGCATGCCTCCAAGTCTCCTCTTTAGCATGGCGAAAGCCGAGACTCTATAGCTGCTTTCTATCAAAAGCTATTCTAGAAACATCGGAGTTCGTTATTCATTGAGACAGACAGCAGTTTTTTCGATTCTGCTTTTTCGCTGTATTTTCCTTTACTGCTGTTGGCTCTTACAGCTACCGTAATCATTGTACAATAACGATATTTAAAAAATGTTCTTTTCACATTTTTGGCTGCTTTTTTCTTTATATACCTTTCCTGTTGTCTGTTTTCATCTTCTTTGTTTGATCCTTGATATTTCGTTATCTTGCATTTTCTCTTTTTGTTGTAAGATTTTGTTTAGCTTGAAAAAAAGCTGTATTTGAACCGACTTTGAAAAGGTTTTTCATCGAAATAAGAAATAATTTTTCTACGTGAGTGATCGATCCGTTTTCCATCAAGCCTAATGGAGAAATTACAGCTGCACCCGTCCAACTTCTTAACGAAGACGACTGAAATTATACTGTAATTTTAGCCTTTACCAAATCTCTTTACGAAGAGTGGCACAAAAATATCTATCATAGTTGACAAAATAAATCTGCATTTAAGAAGTCTATTTCCGAAATGTGGCACAAAAATAGATGACAAATTTCCATTTACGAAGAGTAGCAGAAAAATATGTCCTATTTCACAAAATAAGTCTGCGTTTACGAAGTCTATATTCTCTTAGAATAGATATAGCTGCTTTTAAGTAGTGAAAGATAGTTAGAGTTTTGTACTCACAGAATCTACTCTTAAGTAAAAAAGGAGCCTTGCTCACCTTGCGTTCAAACTTAATGCAGAAATTCGTGTTAAACACAGATTATTTGGCACAACCTTCGGTTCGGCTCCATTCATAATGTTTCATCGAACAGATTAAGAGGAATCGACACATCTATTTACGCCCGCAAACAGATGATAAGGCATTCACGAAGTCGACTTCGATAATGGACGGTATGATTTGAATATTTGATACGATAGGATTTGAATTCATATTATCACGAAAAATAACAGACCACCAAAGGACACTTGCCTGTAAAGCGATGCCGTCCGCTAAACAAATAAGTAAATAAAAAGATGTAAACTTAAGAAAGAAACAAAAGAGCAAATAAGTTATCGTTGCTTATAGTGCCGCTGTATCCCTTCTCCTACCGACATCTCACAACTGGCTTTAAAACGATCCAAAGACAGACGATATTTGTTCTTAGGAATTTTAAATACTTAATCTCATCAAACAGTACCAATAATTGGAGAGAACGGCACATTTTTCGTGTTAGTCAAGCAGTAGACTGGAAAAGCCACGGAGACGCAAGTACAATGCAATGGCGATTTTTCCTCAGTACGTAAAATCCTCAGTAGCTTATCTTGACCCTAAAAAACAGAGAAAAGAAAAAAAATATTTTTGTTTTATTGGCTAAAGAACATTTTATTAGAACCAATAAGACCATAGTCTGTCTTTTACAACAGAAAAGAAGAAAAATTCAAATAAATGCAACAATAGAGGAAAACAAAATCAGATCATGGAATGAATGGAAAAGTGTGATGCAGATATTTTTGCGCAAGAGAGCTGATGAATCTTCTTAAACTAATACGTTACCCTTTTCTCGTGCACTCATGAGCAGGTGTAAGAGGAGCGTGATGATAGAGTGATTCTAAGTTCAATTTTTCTGTTATGTTATGAGAAAAGCATCAAGGGGCTGCGGATGTTTTTTGAATAACTCTAAATTGAAAAGCGCTCGAGTTTTCGCCATTTTGTAGATATGACGTTACGATCAACAGTCAAACACGTAAACCGGATGGTGATTCCCGCCCATTCGGTAGTCAACAACATCAGCCGTTAAGCGGTAGCGGGATCAGCGCATCGTCACCATCGACATCTCAAACAACGAAAAAAACAATAGCAATCAGTCCATTGTCAAAGTAATAATCATCTTCATCCGTTGAAATATCACATTTCACTCTCTTTTCTCTCGTAGAAATGATAAAGATAAGGAAACGATTTGAGCAGGTTAAAAACCGAGTTTGCTAGAAAAGCAATCCCGCGAGCGATGGTTTTCAAAATCGAAAAAATACGTAGTATCCTATCTTTTCGTTCTCATTCTATGGAGAAAATATGACCTCATTCTCGCATACCCTTCCCATTCTGTGGAAATGAGGGTACCCTTAGATTGACAGAATATATATTGACTCCTTTGATTTAGGTGATCTCATTTTTGATTTTAGGTGCTGAATCGTCGTCAGGAGATAGAATTAAGCCTCAAAACAATTTTACATTATATTGACACAATGGAAATAGTGAATCATTGAAAAAATGTCATAATCGAACGAATGGTTACTGGATTTCGTAAACCGGATGGTGATTCCCGCCCATCCGGTAGTCAACAACATCAGCCGTTAAGCGGTAGCGGGATCAGCGCATCATCACCATCGACGAAACCGAAGAAGAAAACATTAACTGTTGTAAGTGGCACGCGACGAAGATAATTTTTTTTTTTGTTGTTAGAAATAAAGTATTGTAAAAGCATTAAAGAGAACATTGTTTTTAAATAAAAGTTTAATGCTTTTTAACAAAAGGATGAATAAAGTCTTGTACTTGAAGGTCGCCGAGATTCTTACCTTTTGAGTAGTTGCAGTCTGTAATTCATCAATCAACGAAGTTAAGGCTGTATGTTCCATCTACTAGAGAAACTAATAACCTATACATTGGGCAATTTTGACTAAGCAGATGAAAACTTCATGGTGCATCCTATTTTATCTGCGCTACACGACAGAGTCCAATAAAAGTTTTAAAACTAATAAAAAACATTTTGATTGCTGAGGCCTTGTAGAAACGTTTTGAAAGAGAATCCTTTTTACTAATTTTAATTAAAGAATCAGATTAAAAAGATGAAATAGAGTATTCTGGAGTAGTTTGGATCGACTTTTTAGTCCATTTTTTTCGAAAGTCTTTAGCCGAATGTTGTGTCCTATCAACACCAGTTATGTCTTCGGTGGTTTTTGTTTCAGCATACCCAGATCAAAAAATCATATCAAGATCTTACATGATCTTATAAAATCTTATGAAAAATCATACAAGAATCTCACGAAATCTGATGAAATCTTACTATAAGATCTTACATCAAGAATCAGTTTCTATGTTTCTTACAGAATCTTACAAATTCTCATAAAAATCTGACGAAATCGTACAAGAATCTTATAAGATTTTACAGTAAGATTCTTTGACCTGGGCAGTTTCTCTCCTTCAGAAGTGAGAAGCGCTGTACTGAATTTAAAGTACTGGTTATAATGACAACAAGAGATGTAAGCTGTAGTAAAAAAAAGGACTGTAAACTGAATTTTAGGTCTGATAAACTTCCTGTACTTGTTGATCTTATTATTATCATAGAATGAACAGTTACTCTTTGCCAAATGCAGTACAGCGATCACTTCTGAAGGAGAGAATCTACCCAGGTCAAAGAATCTTACTGTAAGATCTTATAAGATTCTTGTACGATTTCGTCAGATTCTTATAACTGATCAACTAGGTTTGTACGTTCGAAGTGACTATCCGAAGTGGACTTCGTTCACGTAGACATTGAATAATCTGAATAGTCACTTCGAACGTACAAACCTAGTTAATCAGTTATAGAGAGCATTCAATGTCCGCGTGAACGAGCGACTCGTCCACTGGACGAGGTTCACTGGGTGGCTCAAGTGATAAAGGATTTTGCAGAGAAAGTGGTATAGAATCTGAGACATTATTAAGATTATTGACGAAAAAGGGTGAAGAAAGCGATGAAGAATTTCAAGAAATATATTCAATACTATGGTGCAAGAATATATTCAAGGTTATTGCGCAGAGTCTACTCAAATTATCGCGTAATATTTTGTATATAAATAGATCAATTTTATTGTTAAGAGATATCTTTTTATTTGTAAATAAACGTTAGGTGAGAAAGACGTCAGTTGGTTTCCGCTTGGTTTCACATCATAGAGAAAATGTATTTTTACCACCAGGAAACCCTGCTTCCGGATGCTTTGGAGAAAACGTTCTGCTTGACAAAAGAAAGAGCACAGAAATAAACGTTTATAACCAAAATACAACTCAATGCCAGAAGTTTAATATAGTAAGGTGCAGCAAATTCAAAATTACAGTAAAAACCGAATGTGAGATTTTTTATTAACCATCTTTTTTTAGTTTTTTGGACATTTCTCTTGACCAGGGACCAGGAAGTTACGGAAGGCTCAAAAACATCTCACCTTATTCTGAATTCAGCTCTCTAACATTGTAGACCACTTTCAAAAAGTCTGGTTATTGGGAAGGTTTCCTGAAGATCCGGTCTCTGGAAAATCCTCTACATGATTTTTGAAAATCTTATAAATGTGTTCATTGAATTTGCCATCGTGTTTAGCGTATTTGACACCATTTTTATTAAATTTGGACGAGAAACTCGAGACTTAGTCGAAAATGACCTGACGGCTTTGCTTCGTTCCAATGAAAGTCGTTTTTCTCCGCAAGGAAGATGAGTTTCAAAAATCGGCACATATACGTTTAAAGCTTGTTTCAGGGGGATTCATTTCGCGTATGACTCAATGCGATAACTCTTAACACGAAAAACTGGATACAGTTACAAAATGCATCGGTCCGTTTTGACACGTACCGGTTCGGACGTCTATGTCGGACGAGTGTTTATCTCTGAGATGATCTAGACAGCTTTCTTCTAAGTCAGTTTTTGACGCTGATTCAGTAAAATATAGTTAGAATTTTCTAGCTTGCAATACAACTTTAAAAAAATCGCTTTTATGATGATGGTCAGTTTTTCTGACAACTGGTTTAATCAGTTACAGAGAGCATTCAATGTCCGCGTGAACGAGCGACTCGTCCACTGGACGAGGTTCACTGGGTGGCTCAAGTGATAAAGGATTTTGCAGAGAAAGTGGTATAGAATCTGAGACATTATTAAGATTATTGACGAAAAAGGGTGAAGAAAGCGATGAAGAATTTCAAGAAAAACATACTCGAATACGTGAAATTGCACTCGCTATTCAACAAAATCATCAGGAACAAACAACAAACACATCTTTACAAGAAAATACAACAAAAAATTCGACAAAAAAGAATGCCAAGTTGTAATAAAAAAATACGGTGTTGATCGCGATGAAATGTTGCATTTAATCGAACGTTGGACACAAAAAGTCATTGAAGAATTTAAACAAAATGAAGAGTATTTTAAAATAGTCTTAAAAAAGAAATGGGATAAAAAGGAATTGAAAGGTATTACATTAGATGCTAGTAATTATCAAACAAAAACATTATTTGATATTATTAAAAAGTTAAAAGAATCAGATTTAAATGAAAAACTTAACATGTTAGCGAAAGATGTTTTGCTAAATGATAGTATTAAAGATTCAATTGAATTAAAACTAAAAACAGCGGATTTAATTGATGAATCATTACAAACAATTATGCTTATTGAAAAAGTTCATCAATATTCTAATGATAATCGTCCTGCTAACGTCAAAATAATACCACCCAAAAATACAAAAGTTAGTAGTAGCAATACAGATACATCAGCGTCATTCTCGGATGATGAAAATTTC